CATGTACATTGCTACCACCTGATTTGGTTAACGTTAGAGTAGACTTTACCTGTGCCATCTGGAGTATCATAGTCACCACCAAATATGCTTAATTGTGATCTTCTACCAATTGCCACCTGAGCTACATAAGGCATAAGATTATTGGGTGTGCCTTGAGGGTCTTCACCTATTAAACCAGATTTATGGGATCCAACAGGATTAAAATATCTTAAAAGGATTATATTCCAATCCTGGAAGACATAAAACAAAAATCACTTTAAAAAAAAATATATACACCTCAATCTACATGAAGGAATTTACATATCAACCTGATTGGTTTAAATATTTTAATTTGCACATCAGCTGATTTGTTTAATGTTACAATTTGCATATCAAGCTGATTGGTTGAATGCTTTATTTTGCACATTACCTGATTGGTTGAATGTTACAATTAATATATCAATCTAAGTAGTTGATTGATTTATTTTGGATATCAAACTGATCCCCACTGATTTCATATCGCAAAATTTGATAGCGACATAAAACGGTTTACAGTATATCTGATGACGGGTATTTTATTTTAAAATCTAAATACATGACAACACAATTGGCAATGTATTAAATTAATATTGACATGCAGCTTTACCTTCTCAGCTTTGCCGACATCTCTTAGTATTTCTTCAATGAAGTACTTTGACTTTCCATATGGGTTCGTACAGCTTCCTACCGTGTGATTCTCGTCTATCGGCAAGTATTGTGGGGTACCATAAACTGTTGCTGAACTTGAAAACACAAGATTGCTGACTTGGTATTTCTTCATACACTAGTAAACAAAATGATTGAAAAGGTATGAATGCATAAGTATCAGTAACAAGACAAATATGGCTCACACACTTTCGACACTCAACTTTAACCTATTCACCACTAGTTCTATTTCCAGAAATATTGAAGAACATAAAAAAAAAGTGCAGAAAAATTTGGGCGAGAAAGTCTGGAGGTGAAAAAGTCAACCCCTTGAGTGCCAAAGTAAATTTTTTCGAATTTTGTACCCTATAATTTGTTTACAATTTTTCAAGACGTGTAACAAACTGGAAATTATGTCCATTGAGAGAAAAATAAATAAAATCATTTTGGCGGAAAGAATGACAGCATACACTGGATTAACAGAATTTATTCCCTGTGACTGACTATTTGGAAGTCTGGGGGGAAAATGTGGGCCAACTAAATTGGTTTCTGAACAATGAACCTCAATACATGTATGTATTTCAACCAACTTTCACTTCAAAGTGAAAGGGAGAGGGTGGGAGAGGTGGTAAACAAGGAGGAAAGAGGGAAAGTACTGTCCTAAATCACAAAGTCATTTCAATGGAAGAATTTTGAATCAGATAAACTCAATTTTAATTTGATCTCTCATTCCTGCTGTTATTTGACATCAATATAGTACTGTAGAATACTTATAAATAGATATATTAATAGTTGTTTATCAGTGAATTAAAAACTGTTATCACTTTTATATCGTCTCCTGTTTATGGTTTACTTACCTCTATAAGATTGAGAGTGCCACATATATTCACTTTATAGTATTCTATTGGTATTTCAATAGACTCTCCCACAGCTTTCAGACCAGCAAAGTGTATAACGGCAATAAATGAATGCTGTGAAGAAAATGATAAAATCATGGATCATCTGTGGAAGGTCAGATTAAAATCAGTATGGTACAATGTATGTCAAGTGAAATTAAAATCTCAAGTATGATACAATGTATGTCAGTTTGAATCAAAATCATCAGTATTACACAATGTATGTCAAGTGAAATCAAAATCTAAAGGATGATACAATATACCGTATGTGAGGTCAAATCAAAATCTTCAGCACAATATATGTAAGGTTGAATCAAAATCATCAGTATTACACAATGTATGTCAAGTGAAATCAAAATCATCAGTATGATACAATATATGTAAAGTTGAATTAAAATTATCAGTATTGCGCAATGTGTTTAAGGTCAAATCAAAATCTAAATTAGGGCACAATGTATGTGAGGTCAAATCAAAATCATCAGTATGATACAATGTATTTAAAATCAAACCAAAATGATACAATAAGTACAATGATAAGATAGTATCTTAATGACTATAAAAGGTCAAATCATCAAAATAGAATAACACAGTATCTGTAAAAGATTCAAAATAATCACTTGGAGGAATTGAAAAATGAAACCTACCTTGGCAAAAAGATCATCTAATGCAGCTTTATTTAAAAGGTCAATATCATAATATATAATCTTTTTATCAACAATCTTTTCTATTCTTTTAATACTTCCAGGTCTTCCATTCTCACTAGCTACAATAAATGTGATAACAATACATAATGAAAACAGAAACTTCAGTCATATACTTCTGTCAAATGCGGAATTGATAAAAAAAAAACTCCCAATAAAATTGTGACTGAGTTTACACCATCTTAGGGTGTCAGATTCTCTATTTGAAGATGAAGATGAACTTGAAAATAGAATCAATATTCAATGTGAAGAATTTTCCATTAATATTAGTCTGAGACTCTTCAGTTGTTTTCAGCATAGGCAATATAACACTAGAGTCTTCCCTGGATGTGTTCAAGGCGAATTTTAAAATTTTAATAGTTATCCATAGTTGAAATATCACCATGCCAATTCAAATACAAATGATATTTCAATCTAGAAACCAAGGTATGAATTATTTATTTATGACCATTGCTGACCTTGCGAGACCAGTTTTTATATAGTTTAAATTAAATTGTACATAAATAATGAACATTATTTACTTCATCAACATACCTCTAACAGCATTTGCACAGTTGTCTATAACAACAGGATCGTATCCAGCGTTGACCAGCTCCACTACGGTATGACTCCCTATGTAACCAGCTCCACCAGTCACCAATATGCATTTATTATCAGACATTCTAACCTAAAAATAAGCAAAAATAAAGTCAGTTTATTACAGTAATGTGGTCTTCTCTGCAGACAAAACAAACTACATGTATAGAGGGCAGTATGTCCTCCAATAAGATGTTGGAACTCCCCCCAAAGTCAAGTTGAGATACTACTGTATACGTGTACATGTGTACATGTAAGTGACTACAGACACCAACAAAAATGCTTTTACCAAATTACAAATTTCATAACTTTAATAAGATGTTTTTCAAGATCATGAAATCAATGTGCGATTCACTGTTGCATCAATGACACGTCAGTGAATTAGCATAACCAGTTACGTCACAGCAAATCTTTATGCGCCATGGCACCTCATATCGGCTTAGAGGGCGCTCTGTATAGAGGATTGGTTAAAAATCAGTCAGCTGTATTGTACATCACAGCTGTCTCCAGTGTAACATATATGGAATATAACATGTACACGACACAGTGATGTAATATATTAGGCCAAAAAAAAAATTGTTTTGCAACCGACCGAAAAATATGAAATATCGGGTCGCGTTTTTTTCCCATATACCTCAGCTATTTACGATACCCTTAGTTTTCATGAGTTTAAAAAAAAAAATCCAACCAACCGACCCAATTTTTCAAATTTACGACTTGAGGGCAACATAAGTTGTTGTTTTTTTTTGGCCTTTGGTCGCTTCAAGACAGGAAGACACAATGACTATTGTTGTTCTTGTTTTCGATTAATTTTTGAATCTTAAACACTTATAGAAGCATGCTGTTTACAGAATTTCGTCATTCAAATTTCGGTCTGCATCCCATAGATGGAGAGTGTAGATTTCACTGACATGGCGAAAGAAACATCATTGATTAGGTCACTAGCAACTTAAATTAAATTGCATGAAATAATACTGTAAAACATGTTGAAAAACGATATGCAATTTTAGCATAACCAGTTTTCAATTTGCAAGTTTAGTAATATTATTGCAATCACTGGTCGCTTCAAGACAGGAAGACACAATGACTATTGTTGTTCTTGTTTTCGATTAATTTTTGAATCTTAAAAAGTTATAGAAGCATGCTGTTTACAGAATTTCGTCATTCAAATTTCGGTCTGCATCCCATAGATGGAGAGTGTAGATTTCACTGACATGGCGAAAGAAACATCATTGATTAGGTCACTAGCAACTTAAATTAAATTGCATGAAATAATACTGTAAAACATGTTGAAAAACGATATGCAATTTTAGCATAACCAGTTTTCAATTTGCAAGTTTAGTAATATTATTGCAATCACTGGTCGCTTCAAGACAGGAAGACACAATGACTATTGTTGTTCTTGTTTTCGATTAATTTTTGAATCTTAAAAAGTTATAGAAGCATGCTGTTTACAGAATTTCGTCATTCAAATTTGGGTCTGCATCCCATAGATGGAGAGTGTAGATTTCACTGACATGGCGAAAGAAACATCATTGATTAGGTCACTAGCAACTAAAAGAAGATTATAATGCATGAAATAATATTTTTTTTCCCCCAATATTAGTAACATTTGATCCAATTCTCAAAAATGAACATCTAGCCATTTTCAACGACTAGCAACTATCACCAGTAACAACAACCGTCAGAAAATGATACTTTAAGATGGTTGTTGAGACTCCCCTGAACAGTGTAACAAGACTATCTTTACATGTGTAACATATAATTTGGTTGTTCAGGATTGCCTCAAAGTTGAGTTTTTGCAGTTTCCTCGACTTCAGCTGTTTTCACCGACTTCTTTATCGGTGTTCCACAGCAGCTCGTAACATAACCCATACAAATACATGGTATAGTGGTGTGCATCCAAAAAAAAACATTTTGTGACTTATATTTGCCACTGAGACTCCCTTTTTTTGTAATGTTTTCATAAATACTTGGTCTAAT